TTTTTTTTTTTTTTTTTTTTTTTCAAAAAATTTCTACACCGTCGCTCCAACACCACTCTGTCTATAAGCCATTTATACACGTTTCATTCATAACTCATAATCACTCTCGTTCGAGCGCTTATCGTCCTACTTCAATGTGTTATTTTTTCCCAAAATTCCCCCTTGCCATCCGCCAAAAAAAAAATTGCATTCCGTAATTTTACGCAGTGACGTCCATTCTGCGGACGAGCAAAAGGGACACGAAACGTTACGTATTCGACACGCGCGTTTCTCGTTAAGTGATTCATTCACGGCGGAATCTCGAATGACGGACGTCACTGGGTCGTACCTTTTGTACGAATGTGTCTCGTCTTTGTCCGGCGAGTGGGTGGATGTATACGTATACTATAGGTATGCATCTGTATATACATCGCGACAGCAGTAGCCTCTACCGTACCGTAAGGTAAGAAAAGCGTCTTAGCTACCGTCTCGAGCGCCTCTGTATGTACATATATAGATAGAAATAAAGCCTTGGATCAGTTTAGATCGTTTAATCGATCAATAGGACTCCAACTGCCGTGTGAGTAATTGCTGTCGTCACTTCCGTCCCCCGTGTACGAGCTTTAACGACGTTAAACACGACTTACGCTGCAGCGTTGCGATCCTTTGTTCTCGAAGGAGAGGAAGTCGTCTTACGGGTTGAAGTCATTGGATAATATTTTTTTTTTTTTTCATTTTTCTTCGTCCAGGTAATTCTAGTAAAATGTATGGCACAGTAATCGGCTTTGTACCAGTAATCATCGTTTGTGTTATGATACTGTAGACTTTGCTACAGTCAAAGCACACGCTGACGGTTACTGGTAAATGAGCGATAGTTGGGTCCGTCCACCCTATCGCGAAGTTTTGCTCTGCGCGAAGGGATAATTGTGACATTTTTGTTTGATCGTCATGTTTTACAAGAATAAATCTTTTTTAAACAACTTTTTCGCTACAACTGTTGGTAGGGACAGACATTCGGATTGTAGAAAATGGCCCGACGCCTCGAGTGAGTAATGGGGTTCGGTTGGATGATGATGCCTAGAAGAGCAAACGTGACGTCACGGGATTCGTAACCAGCAGAAACATCATTTTGATACACAGGGTGACTCCAGCATTGAATGGATGCGTTGACGTAAATTATGTATATAGTGATACTAATGGGGGGCTTCCAATCGACGTAGGCGTTTCTAAGGATTTTTGTTTACCACTAAATTTTTAGCCCACGTCGTGGCACGTATAAGATATTTTTTTGTGAAATTATAAACTTTCCTAGAAATCGCCATCGGCAAGTTGTTACGGGGTTTGTCAACGGAAAGCGCAGTCGGCAGAAGTTGGCTGCGTGTGAAAAAAAGCACGAGTACGACTGTCCGTATGAAAGCGGGTATAAGAATTTGCTGGGAAATTTGGAGATTGTACGAATTCGCGTGACTACGGTGGACTGACAGTTTACGCACGTGGTCGATTCCCGTATGGCGAGAGGGAAAAGAAGTAAACAAAAGTCCAAAAGACAAGTTACACGTAAACAGCAGTCGGAGTCATCGAATCTGTCATAACGTACTGTATTCTGGTCAGTGTGAATCATTCTCAGTGATTTCAGGAGAAACGACATTGATAAGCGTGTACGTGTGATTCCCTAGACCTTACAAAAGAGTTTAACCTCATTGCTGGACTGTCAAACGATATCAATATTGTGATTCAATAGTCCCATGTTGTAATATCGACATTGACTCATTTCAGGGGAAAACTTGATAAGGCGCCATTTTCATTTTCAAAGTATGCTCGTGACGTGAGCATAATTATCGATTAGAAAAAAAAAAACCGTTTCTTATTTTTAAATCAAATTTTTCTCACTCCAATTTTCTATATTACCTGCCTTTGACTTACTCGTACACGTGTTTTCATCGGCGGGTAACAATTTTGAATCTTTTCAACTCTTTCGGCTCCGTGTATCTCCTGATATCGTTGTGTGTATCTTCGCTTGGCTGCGGAATGATTCATTATTGACTTAGATATCGATATGTGTACTGTTAACCGTATTTACCTCTTTTGCACAAAAGCCGTGAATGCTTTAACGATTATCGCTTCACGATTGTCGATTGTCATGCTCCAGTCGTATGTAATTTCGATTCGAACCATCTTATGGTATCGCATAGGGTTACTCAGGATGACAGGGAACCACCTGAAGTCAGCCATACGATTTCTGTGGTATGTACAGCCAACTTCAGGTTGTACATTTCGGAGCGAAGCTTATTGACTACGTGCTTCTTGCGCACAGAGATATCTGAGCATGTATTTCTGCGCATACTATCAGCCATAAATTTTACTGGTTTGACTTTTTTTTTTTATCAAAAATCTAATTTCCACCCACGCTCCCATATACTTATTTACATATGTGACACGTGCACGCACGTACTTCGCGAATATCGTACATCGATATTCACCATGGAACTTCTAATCGAAGCAGCCCAGGATCGATTGTG